ATATAGCAAACTAAGAGAGGGAAAGGAACAGAAAAATATAAATAGAAGACACAGAATAAAAACTGCTCCCATGAAGCAAATGAAAATTGTGACCATACTGCTATGATTAAGAATAATCTGTATGATGAGGGGATCACCTCTGTATGAGAAGAATTCAACGTAAAAATACAAGAGCTAAGGGTAGATATGTTGAGACAAAAAAAGTCATAAAATATAAGCTGGCAAAGTTCAGGAAAAAAGTTCAACAATAATAGCAAAAAATGTAAAAAGGAGCCTGGACACTGCTAACTACTCGTTCATGAACAATGTGGGTAAGACTTTTTTTTTTTTTTTTTTAATATCGCTTTGCTCAGGAGTCATAAAATATAAGCTGGCAAAGTTCAGGAAAAAAGTTCAACAATAATAGCAAAAAATGTAAAAAGGAGCCTGGACACTGCTAACTACTCGTTCATGAACAATGTGGGTAAGACTTTTTTTTTTTTTTTTTTAATATCGCTTTGCTCAGGGAGTTAGAACTGATTAGAAGGGAAGAAATGATGACTCCCCTTTGCTTTTCCTGCCTACTGTACACATCCTAAGTGTCCTGGAGGATGAGAACCAAAATAATGAAACTGAAATACAATACATATTTCAAAATATAAATCAGAAACTTTTGAGAAATTAAAAAAGAAGGGGAAATTGAACCAACTGAATGAGACTTACATTTCAGGAAAAAGAACTGACACAGTATGACCAACTGCAAAACATATACTAAAAAAGTAAACAGTATTCAAATATATATTTTTAAAAGGACTGTTAGGTATCAAGGGCAAAAAAAAAAAAAAAAAAAAAATTAGGACCCCTAAAAGGGAAAATATCAGGCTGGCCTGACACAGTAAGATTCAATAAATTAATAGAGCAAAGGTCTCATGGAAAGCAAACGACACTCATTTTATAGCCTAGAGGGAGAGACAAACATATTTTCAACATTCAAGAACTCACCTTTCTTGAAAACTTTACTAAAGGACAAACTGCAGACAACCAAGAAACAAATAGGAAACATATAGTAAAGGGCCTAGATTTACCTGTAAAACTAAAATCAAAATAAATGCAGGAATGATGGTTCACAGAAGAATGTGAATGCTCTGAATAATTTAATTAACAAAACTGGAGTTGGATACAGGTCATAAGCACAGGCTATTTTTTTCTACCTTTGTTCAGCCATGCTTCATAAAATATTTAAGTCTAACAGAATTATATTTTAAGATAGAAAAGCAAACAAAGAGATAATACAACCATCCAAAACCAGGGGAGGAATTTAAGAGAGAGGGCAGGAAAGAGAAATATTTGGATAACCATAAATTGTATCATTGCACACAAGAGGAAATCAATAGATATAATCCAAAAATAGAAGATTCTCTGTTAAATTCATAAAGTTAAGTAGCTAGAACAAATATTCAAAATTATCAAAGAAACACAGCATCAGGAAAGCAAGGAAAACACCATATAATGAGTTTTTTTTAAAGAAGCAATCTTAACTAAAGACTCAGCATATACTGTCAGAACTAAGCCATAGCTTTCATACTGATCAATGCCGAAGGCCAATCTCACCTATGAGAAGGAAAGGACTCATTAGCTACTGCTGGCCGAATGACGCACATCTGTACCTGTCGTATGCACAGTTGTTCATGTGTAACCCACCCCCATGCTTCTACTGAAGAACTTAGCCAAATTCTAGTTGCAAATAATAGCATTTCATCTGTGTTTATTTGATGGTTGATGAAATTCCATGTTTTTCTCAAGAGTATCGGCCTTTTGCATTATTTGGGGCATTGTGATTCCATGCTTTCCATCTCTCTCATGGTTACAAACAAAAATCTTAAAACGGCCTTCAAGGCCCTGTGGGATCTAGTACCCTAGGTCTATCCTGTGGCTATCTCTAAACTCTGTGACAAGGTCTCGTTTACTCCTTCCTTCTCATCTCCCTAATATTAGAGTGCCCTGTGCCCTGGTCTTTGCATTGTTTCTCTTTTCTGTCTGTACTTACTCCCTTGGCGACTTCAATTTTGCAATTCAAAAATAACACCAATATGCTGACATCCTTCCAACCTATATCCTCAGCCCTGGCCTCCCCACCACCTCTGCTCCAAAAGTCAGTCTCAAATCTCTACCTGTTCACCCCACATCCTCATATGGGGCTCAAGAAAGTACAGGGCCCAACACACCTGGCTTTATGTCCCCCTCTGACTGCTGACTTCTGCCACCCACTCCTGGTTCGCCACTCACTGAATGAGGCCTTTTCAGGTCATCCTCAATAAAACAACACCTACAGGTACCTAACGTTCACATTCCTCATGAGCTTTCAGCCAGAGCATTATCATTACCCGATATATTTTGTAAACAGATAAATAGATGATAGCATAAGATAGAAAGATAGAGAGCAACATTTACATAGCATTGTTTTGGCACTTTACAGATGTAATTGACAAATAGAATCTGCCCAGCAACCCATGAAGTGAGCACTGTAATTACCCTCTTTTTACAGATGAGTCAAATGAAGCACAGCTCGAGGTCACCCAACTAAAGTGTAGCCTGCAGAGGTCAGAATAAATGTGGCCATCGGATTTCAAACTTTAGGATCTCAATCACCACTCTTCACAGTCTTTCACATCCACATATGTATATATATATATACACATATATATACATTTTTCCCATCGCCCACTAGAATATAAACACCACTTGGGCAGGAACTTTATTGTGTTCACTGTCTTAACCCCAGCTCCTAGAACAAGGGCCTGAAATGTAACAGGCAATCAATAAAACTTTATTGATTAATGGGAACTCTTATCTCTTTAAAACAAAATAAAAATTGATGCTTATAAAAAAAAAAAACTTCTACTGGCTTCCAGTCTAATAATAATAAAAGATATTTCAGAAGTTAGAAAAAAAACCTGGATGTCTGCCAGCAGAGTTACAGAAAACTTTATGCAATAAAAGGAAAAATGAATTTTAAAAAATCTGAACATTTTAAATTCTAAGTCATGTTTCCCAGAAACGATTCTGCCATGTTCATCATTATATGCAGTATTAGCATTAAGGAAAGGGCAATCAGATTGGTAAATTCATAAATCATCTCTGTGCTTCTATCTTGAAAAAAATCAAATAAAGACAAAGAAATAATGAAGCCTCAAACTGGGACCATGGCAATGGGAATGAAATGAAAGGAAACATTTGAGAAATAACTAAGGGTGATAAGAGCAGGAGCTTGGATTCACTGAATTTGGGGACATAGACAAACCTGTAGTTTGCTACCTCAAGTGACCTGGGAGAAGATAGTGCCACCAGTGTGTCAGGTTCAAGGGGGACACGTTGATTTTATTTTAGCTGTGCAACATCCAAGTTGAGATACCAGGATAACTATTAGACATAAAGATCTGCAGTATAGAGCAGAGGTTACAACTCCCTGACTTGAGAGTCATCAGGACATGGAGGTGGTACTTAAGAACACAGGATCTCCTAGACAGTGAGTACTAGGTGCAGAGAGAAGCAGGCCAAGGGCCAAAGCTAGAGAAAACCAAGAGTTATGCCTAATACTGTTTATTTTGCATTGTATGTGTTCAGTACATACTCATGATTAAGGAAATAATAGCACCAATGACCTGCCAAGATTTAGGGAAAAAAATTCTGAAGATTCTGGCTTTTACTCAAACTAAGAAATGGGGATTTTCTTGAGCCACAAAGACCTCTCTTTCCCTCCCTTTTTCAAGCTGGTTTTTGAGTGGCTGGCTACTTTTCCTGTATTTTACAAGCCCTCAAAAGTCTACACAACTAATTTTTTAAAAGAAGCAACTCCTCCGTCTATAATTTATCAATACAACAAGTAGTGACTGAGTGCCCTACATTTGCAAAGGCTTCTTGTTAGGGCCAAGGATGAGGAGTAAAATGTGGGTATAAAATATTCTCCCTATTCTCAGGGAAATGCAATTGAGAAAGAAGACAAATCCACCAAGATTTAAGTAACAATTCCTAGTAGCCCACGTGCTAAAGGACTGGCAGACAAGAAGAGCTGCAAGGGTTCAGAGGAAGAGAGGCATCGCCAGCTAAGGGAAAGTGGGGCTGAGCTGGACTGGAGACCAGGAGTAGGGCAGAGAAAGTCATTCAGGTGCTTAGGTCTGATCAAACTCCAGAAGATTCCAAAGATCAAAGTTCCTATAGGAAACAGTTTGCAAAGGAATGGACAGCATAAGGGTGGGAAGGCAGAGTGGGGGAAATCAAAGCTGCTGTCAAAGGTCAAGTTCAATTTCACACACACACACACACACACACACACACACACACACAGTAAGTCACGTGGTGGAACATCACCTTTTACCTTTTGTTTTTCCTCATTTTTGCTCTTCTTTGCATTTCCTTCCAGGGAAACTCAACACCTAACACAAGGCTTCCCTTGCCTGTCTATAAATGTGAATCACACCTAGCTTTCTCTGTGAGTCAGAGATCTTGGGAATGTAGGATTTTGGACTCGGAGCATATCAGGGAGTAGTCAGCGCTGGAAAGGGAGGGCAAAATTTAGTGAGTTCTAGATTGTTCTAGAAAAAATCCTAGAGATGCTTCAGTTCTTGGGGATTCTCATTCCCAAGTTAGGTCACTTTGGACAGAAATGGAATGGAGCTTTGATAAACTACTTAAAGTCAGATCCCATGGGAGATGTGGCTCTAAGTAACCTCCAAACCCTAGACCACATCCTAGTCATTTCCAGACCCATTTTGGTATAATAAAACAGCAATCCAACTGAGGATTCAGTGGGCCACTGAAGACCTCTGTACATGATACTGACCCATAACGCCTTTATCTTTCACCAGAAGTCTTGGATCCCCCCAGAGAACGGGTCACCAGAGCAGCAAAGGAGGGACCACACCCCAGCTCCACATCTTCACAACCGCATGAAAGCCGCCTTCATTTTCCTAACATCACCTGAGCATCCCCTCTCTACCACTGACTGCATTTTCTGGACTCACCTGAATGAAGATATATTCATCCTGAACAACCAGGGAACTGATGTCAATGGAGCGGGCAAAAGGCCCACTGCGAGTGGTCTCGGCACATTCCTGGATCCTGCAGGTGAGGTAGTGAGCATCTGAAATGGGAGAGTGGCACTTAGACACAAGGGCAAATATGGTGACAAAGCTCTCATCAGTACCCAAGGCTCTACCTCATGGGAAATCAATGATGCAGTTTAAAACAACAAGATTTCATTCACGTTCACAAGAGTTGTAATAATTTAAAAAATGGCAATATCTAGATGAGGCAAGGGAGTGGGGAAAGAGTTAATCTTACATCCTACTGGCAAAAGGGTAAACTGGTGTAGCTTTTTGGAAGAACAAATTGGAAATATCTATCAGAATTTTAAATGCGCATATCTTACACCAGCAATTCTAATGCAAGCGATATCTTCTAGAGAAATACTCATATATTTTCCCGAAGAGTCAAGGGCAAAGATGCTCATTGTGGCATTGTTCACAGCAGTGAAAAATCAGAAACAGGCTAAATGTCCCTGAACATTTCAATAAACCAAGGTGCACGTATTACAGAGGGCTAGCTGCAATTAAAAGAATTAAGTAGATAGAGAAACATTCACATGCTGATTTCTCTAAGGTCCCTGTTCCTTTCCAAATAACCTTTGACAAAGTATTTGCCAATATGATAGCATGATACAATTCAAGTCCCCAAAAGCTTTATCTTTATAAATGTATAGGTTTGTGCCACAGTGCAGAGAAAAAAAGTTTTTTTTTAAGATTTTACTTATTTACTTATTTATCTATTTATTTGAAAGAGAGAGAGAGCAGGGGAAAGGCAGAGGGAGAGGGAGAGAATCTCAAGCAGACTCCACACTGAGCACAGAGCCCAACTTGGGGCTCAATCCCACAACCCCAAGATCATGATCTGAGCTAAAATCAAGAGTCAGACACCTAACCGACTGAGCTACCCAGGTGCCCCTGTGCATAGAAAAAAGTTTTAAAGGAACCCATAAAACATTAGCTATGATTACTTGTGGAGAAAAAGAATGGACTTGAGGAGGTAGTATTGAAGTGGGACCTTTGCTTTTTATATTATATACATCTTTATTATTTTTACAATTAGAATGTATTCACCTATTACTTGTATAAAATCTATAAAACTTGTACGATTACTTGTCAGATCTTCTAAAGATCTCAGCAGGTGAACAGCTCCTCAAGCAACCCAGGACCATGATGGCAGAAGCTGTAGCTGAATAGGAAAAATCTTTGACTACAAAATGCATTCTCATTCTGATCATAGGGTCATCCAAGAAAGACAATCCACTCAGTTATTTGCTCCTTAAGGAAAAACTACAGGCAAGTCTCCGTGAAGAAACCTCTATGTACACTGGCTTTTAAAATGGTTTTTACTGGGGCATGTGGGTGGCTCAGTCGGTTAAGCATCTGCCTTTGGCTCAGGTCATGATCCCAGGGTCCTGGGATCAAGCCCTGTATTGGGCTCTCTGCTCATCAGGGAGTCTGCTTCTCTCTCTCCCTGCCCTCCACCCCTGTTCTCTCTCGTGATTTCTCTCTCTCAAATAAAAATCTTTTAAAAATTAAAAATAAAATGTTTTTAATTGAACAGTATTTAAAAACAGTAAGTGGCCAAAATGAAAAGTTAGGAATCATTTTATTTTATTTTTTTATTTTTTTATTTGAGAGAGTGAGAATGAGAGAGAGTGAGAGAGAGTACATGAGAGGGGGGAGGGTTAGAGGGAGAAGCAGACTCCTCGCTGAGCAGGGAGCCTGATGTGGGACTCGATCCAGGGACTCCAGGATCATGACCTGAGCCGAAGGCAGTTGCTTAACCAACTGAGCCACCCAGGTGCCCCAGGAATCATTTTAGTATTAAAAGCAGAGAAGTCTCTGTTATCACCTAAAACCACGTTCATCACTATATGCATCTCATGTGATTGTTCCTTGGAATGTGTGCCCAGGTGTGCACAGGTGTCATGGGCAGCTCGCAGGCGGCAGAGATAAAGGCAAAAGGCTTAACTAAGCAAAAATTTATAACAATTGAGTTTAAACCATGAGTACTTTAAATTATCCCCTTTTATCTTTAATTAATTAATTTACTGGTGGCTTCACCGAGACTTTCTTGTGCACACACAACGTACCGGGGATTGCTCAGGTACTAGGAATATAGCAGAGAGCAAGACAAGTGTACCTGCTGACTAGGAGAGGGCTGATCACATTATCTGTAGCCAGCTATTACACACATTTATTTATACACATGAGGCTAATTTAACAAAGAAACATATTTGGGTAAGAAATGAATTCATTATGGGCTATATTCCAACTTCCTGAGTGTCCAGAGCTGAACACAGTCTATTGTTGTTGGTATTCTTACTCAGAACACGTCAAACATCCACTTCCTTCTCTCCATTAGCGGTTGCTGGCGTCATCTGCCCACAAGTACAAGCCTCCTCCCTTTTCTTTCCTCCACGTGCCATATAATCCATGTGGTTCCTAGCCCTGATAATTCTGCCCCTGAAGTGCTTCCAGAGTCTCTCCCCTTCTCTCCCCAAGCCCTGCTGCCTGCCTGGGGCAAGGCCTTCTGACCCGCGTGGCCTGCTGCATCTATCTCACAACTCGCCTGCACGCGCATGATGGACTGGAAACTGCACGGGCCCGAGGCAAGGAACAGAGTCATCTCTAAAACCCAAACCTGAGCTCATCTCTCCTGGCTTTCAAACAGCTCTGAGGGCCCTGGGACAAAGCCCTAAGGTCTTTCTATAGAACGGAAGGCTTTTTACAAGAAGCCTAATAAAATCAAATGCCTAAGGAGCCAGACAAATCATGTGTAGGAGTAAAATGAGCTGGATGAATATGACAAATGGCAGCTGGTGCACAGCCTCGGTGTCAGGGATCACTGAGGAGTGCTGGGGACTGCAGCAAAATCACCAACACTGAACTCTTCAAGGAGAAGCTGCTCCTCAGTGTCCATTCGTTGACAGGCAGGAATAAGACGTTCTGTGTTTTATAAATCTAACTGTCCCTATTTTTTTAAGGTGAAGTTGCCTGATTTTTTAAAAAATGGACAGCTAGAGGCGCCTGGGTGGCTCAGTTGGTTAAGTGTCTGACTCTTGATTTTGGCTCAGGTCGTGATCTCAGGGTTGTCGGATCAAACCCCACATCATGCTCAGTGCGGAGTTGGCTTGTCCCTCTCCCTCTGCTCCTCCCTGGGTCATGTGCGTGCACTCTCTCTCTCTCTCTCTCAAACAAATAAATAACATCTTTAAAAAATGGACAGCTACTTTAAATTTAAAACAGGGTGCAGGCCAAACACTGTATAGCCAAACAAAACAAGCCTACATCCAAATACCCCCAGGAGCTGCTCATTCCCTATCTCTACTCTGTAATTTGGTTCCTACCTACCTCTCCGGAGAAGAGACAGACCCTCTTCCCCCTCTTCCCTGACCCATTAGCAAGACCAGATTGTTTGCCATTCTGTAAGTACAGCCTGCCCATGCCTTCCTCTTTGTCTCTGTTCGCAGAGAGGGCCAGGAGTGGCCTAGCTCTCCACTTCTGGCTGAGAGGGTGAGGGAAGGCAAGGAGCCCAGGCTGGGCCAGGCAGCCCATGGCCTGCCCACCAGGAATACTCTTGGACTCACAAAGCCTTAGCAATTTTCTCCTAGAATAAGGCACTAAAACCCAGCAAAAAGCTATAGTAAACACATAGGAAGAAACCACAAGTGTTGACATGACAACCTGCTTCCTTCTTGCCAGCCAGAGTCTCAGAAAGCTCCTTACACTGAATCAAAGGTACACACAGGAGGACATCTGCTTGTACCGCCCCCCGCCCCCAGGCTCATTTTCCCCTATTTACTATTCACTCTCACATTTGGACACTTTGAAAAAAAAAAAAAGAACCAAGAGTATTCAAGCCCACCCCAAACAAAATCAAAACCTACCTAAACCCTGGCCCACAGCAGGTGAGCTATTGTGCCAAACTCATCCTACTTCTTGGCTCTCCCCCTGCTTGCTACTGCCCAGCATGGAACGAAAGGTCCAATATAACAGGAAAGCAGCTCTAAAATGAATTTTTCAAATCCACTTAAAATTCAGGGGCCTTGCAGTCTTTAGCTGGACTCATACATTAGAAGTCTCAGTGTTTTTATTTTTCAAAACACAGAGACATGATAGTAAGCACTATGGCGCCCAATGTCTGGTGAGAACCCAGAATGGGGGGAATGGGGAGAGTAAATTATCAGGTAGGCCTGGCCAACAGATGGAAGTGACTGAGGGTGACAAGGGACTCTGGGTGTCAAAGGTGAGCAGGGGACACCAAGAACCTCACATTTGTGAAAGTTCTCAAATTCAGGCTTTGGACATTATCCTAAAATGAGGCTGGATACAGTCATGGAGATTCAAAGATGAAACTGAAAGATATTTGTCATTTAACTTGAATCCCAAACTGGGCTTCTAACACCTGTGGCCTTTTCATTAGCTTTTAATAAAAACTCCAGATGCCTGATAAAATGGCAGAAGGTCAGATCTCTTGAGCGTAGCATGGTGTTTGAGAGCGAGGCCTCTGAAGCTAGAATGGGCTGAGTTCAAATCCTGAACCTGCTACTTGCTGATCACCCTTGACTAAGTAGCACAGCTCTTCATCTGTGAGATGCCTGTAAGTCAGCATTTGCCTCCAAGGACTGTCATCAGGATTAGATAAGATCATGTATGAAAATGCTTAACACATTGTTGGATCCATTTTAAAAGATTAATAAACGTTATCTCTTTGTTGTTATGAAAATAGAAGGAAATTTAACACTCAGCCTCTCTCATATCTTCAAATAATAACACTTAATGTTCTGTTTGACTGTGGAGAATCCAAAGGCTGTATTACAGGTTCTCTTAGTAGTCATATTCCAAAATTATATCACTGTTTAATTCCTTAAAGTACTTTGGGTGTGCAGACAAGAAAAAGACAAAAACAAAAACATGTCTGAGCTCGAATAACCAAGAAGGACTTAAAGGAGGAGGCAGCCTTTGTGTTCAGCTAAGATGGAGAAGGGAATTCCTGGAAAGGGAGTAAAAACTATACATGGTCTTTTAGGTAGGCAAAGCTCATGGAAAGCAC